GTATTGGATTCATCTGATAATTCCCTCAGACCAATGGTCGTCATCAACCGCTGGTTTCTAAGCCGGTATTATCATCGAACCAGATTATACACGGTTAATCAATAAGAAGTATTGAACTGAATTCTTTATGCAGAGAGGCAGTACTTCGTTGTTGTAGTTTTTTCATGGTTTAATCCGCACCACAATGGGAACGGAGAGGTCGACGTTTGCAATTAGAAGAACGATTTGTATGACTACAAATTCTGCTATCTCTGAGATGAGCTGACGCAAAGTGATTATTGATCATCACGATAACGTAACAACTAACTATGACCAGTACTGTTATATAAAAGTTGTACAGCAGCATTCAGAATCACTCTTGATCCGCTCTTACGGACCATATAGAAGCAGTGTTTTATTTGTGATGCTCTCTTAGATCCTTGTTAGGGTAATCATTTTCGAAGACATTCATAAAGCAAGTATTCTTCATCGACATTTAGTTTAGCTTCGTTTTTTCTTTTACACGTGCCCTCTTCAGGAGTTGTTCCTTGCTGCGAGGTTATTAGTTTTCCCAGACCATTAATTATAAAGAAAACCTCTGTTCCAAACGAAACAAAAATCAGTACAGATGAGAACATGTCAGAAAGCATTTTAAAAGATGTGAAATGTGATAGCCACTTTGAGATTCATAGCAAAGTCAGCCACAAGGAGGATGAAGCGAAACATCAGAATGGGTATCGCAACTAGACAAAATAAGCCTTGCTTTGCAAGGGAGCACACACTATCAATAAAGTGAGTTATGAGGAACCCATCTGGCTGAAGAGATCTGCAAGTCGAACAACGAGATAAAACTATAGAAGCGGTTCTTCGGTACTCGTTTTCTTCATTTTCAATAACGGCACCATTGAATAAAGTCAATTTAGAGGATCGCCGCGATATCGCGGCTTTTGGTAACCATCGAATATTTGGGATGAGAAAGAACTATCACGCCTTTTGGAAGACACCTATTATTCACGCGTACTGAAAAACTGAATTTACCATTGGATGGTAATGGTGGTTTGCAAAAACATGGATTGCAAGCCGGAATATGTTAACTGGTGCTTAATTTATTCTGAACGTTACGTCTCTGTCCCGGCCATATTTTCACTGTGCGTCTGATCAGTTAGCAATGTCCACGATACCTCGACCATGGCTTACAAATTTCCTCGATTTTGAAGTTGCATCTGACTCAATATGTCGAATACCAGAGCGCATCGTTTCGATTCTGAAAGATGTATGTAGGAACCGTGTCTACTGTCAAAGCTGAAAGAGAACTATCTGTGTGGAGTTGACCAGAGAGATGTGTTTTTGCCCTTACATTCAATACTGTCCTGAACTTTCACCCCTGATGCATGGTTAGCCCTGGCAAATACAAAGGTGTCATTCCAGATGGAATGTACAGTTCAAGATATCTGGCTGGATATCTTGCTGATCTGGAATACGCACATAAAATTGTTCCGGCTGATAGTATGGGGAGCGAGTTCTGTCACTTTACGGATTGCCTCGGCAACACAACAGCAAAAGTAAGTCTGTTCCTTAATCAGTTATGAAAAATTCATCTCGCACAGCTGATCTACAAATATAACAGGGATGTGAAAAGCTTCAGAAGAATGACCAATTTAAATATTTCGACTTCATCATCTTCGGCGATGGCACCACCCAGCTAGGATATGATTGCAGGACGCCGTAACTTTGAGTGCTTTAGAAAATTTGTCCAATATTTGAGTTAAGAAACGAATATCGCATTCGAAAAAAATCTGTTGCTACTCTCCCTGCGCCAGGTAAGTGCTGTTGCACGGCTTGGAGGTATACGTTCTAATGAAGGACCAAGAATGAAGAATTAACTAAATTTAACAGTGCTGGTTTTAATGCATAATAATTGGTTTAATGGCA